TGCGTCAAAGAAGGGAAAAAAAACTATTTCGATATAGTTTTCAAAGTTTCACGAAATATCTCTAATGGCACACAAAATACGCGTATATATATATAACAATGACCAAAGGGATCGGTTGATTAATTGATTATGTTAGCTGCCAATAACTGATCCATAAATTCTGTACCAAGTCATTGCCCCTTTTTTCATATAGATGTAAAAGATTTATCTCGTGCGAATAAGAAAATTCATTTATATTCAATTTTTCCATTATTCTTATATATTAATAACTTATATACATCATTCGCAAATGTTTTTGGTTGTTCATCAATTTTTTTTTACATCGTAAAAGTTAATTTAAAATTTTGACCATAAAATGTTCTTTTATATTCGCTATTTGGATAGTAATTATTACAATCTATATATATAACATTTTGCAACAGTTTGCCTTTGTCTATTTTTCTTTTTTTTAACTTCTAAATTAAATTATATTCGCCATTTTGCTAAATAGAGAATCCATCAAATATAAAGGTTTTTTTAAATGAATATGTCGACTGAAATTTACTTTAAATAAAAATTCTCTGAAAAGGAAAAAAATTTCAATTAGTTAAAAAATTATTTGTGTAAAATTAATATTAATTGTTTATTTTTATTAATTAATAATTATAATAATGTAATAATTAATTTTTTAATAAAACATTGAATTTCACGATCATTCCGAGTCAGCAAAAATGATAAAATTAAATATTTTTGTAATAATTAATTATTTATTAATTCTTTAATTAATATCAATTGGAAAAAATTAGCATAAATAATATTTACGTACTAAACTAATATTAATTTAAATCAATATAATTAAAATTCTATTATAAATATAAATAATTCAATGAAAACGAGTTGAAAAGCTTTCTTTAAAAAAATAAGATTAAATTGTAATTACCAGTATTAAAAATTCAATTAGCTTAAAATTTAGTTCCTCATTTAGAACGGATGTTGATCAAGAATTTATATTAATGAACGATTGATAAATACGTGACATTAACGAATATTTAATAGCAACATAATTCCCATATTATCCATTCTCACCGGAACTTTATAAAATAATTTAAAAGAAAATATTTATTCTTATATATTTATTCCTATTTTTTATTATTATTCATTATAATATTATATATTATAAAAATTAAAAAAAATTATAGGTAAGAAATAAAAATACTTACAATTATATCAAGATAAAAATATATATATATATATATATATATATATATATATATATATATATATATTGATATAATTGTTTTCACTCTAAAACGGATTCGAATTGCCGGTTGTCGTATTAAACGTCTTTTAACTTTTTCTTCTATCGATTCGTAATTTCTTTCTATTCAAGTTAAAATCTTGATTGCGACTTTTTTTTCTTCGATATATAGCTATATGTACACTACATTGTTTTTTAACAAGAGTCTTGGAAAATTGAAATTATCCCAATAGATTAAAAGAAATTAATGGAAACAGTGAGAGAGTATAAGAAAAAAAAAATTTATTTCATTTTAAAAGGAAAGAGAAAATTTCATTTAAATTCAATTTTATACGTGCGCAAAATCGATGTAAAATTTGATTTTCATGAAAACACCATCTCTTCATTTTGAAGAAACTATTTTATTTTAGAGAAAATTGAAAATTTTTTAATCTTGAATTAGAAATATAATTTTTTTCTTAATTTTAAATTCTAAACTCTTCTTAAAAAAAAGTAGAAAATATTATTTATTTTAAACAGAATTTTATGTTCTTTTAATTTTTACTAAAAAGAATGAATTTTTTTTTCAAAGTAGAAGAATTGAAAATCGAAGGAAAAAAAATTTTCGTAAATACAAGTAATTTTTAAATTACTTATTTAAATAAGTAAATTTTTTTAAATTAGAATATAGTTTATTTACATATAAAAAACAATATTTAATGAAACAATTTTTTTAAAAATAATACTTCAAGAAACAATATTTTTTATAAAACAATATTTAAAGGAACAAATTTTTTTTTTTGAAACAATATTCAATGAAACAATTCTTTTGGGAAACAGTATTTAAAGAAACAAATTTTTTTTTTTTTTAAACAATATTCAAAGAGACAATTCTTTTAGAAAGCAATATTCAAAGAAACAATTTTTTTTATGAAACAATATTTAAACGAAAAAAATTTTTTTTGAAACAATATTCAAAGAAACAATTCTTTTAGAAAACAATAAAAATAAATAAAATTTTAGGAAACAATAATTAAAGAAATATGTTTTTTTTAAACAATATTGAAAGAGACAATTCTATTAGGAAACGATATACAAATAAACAATTCTTTTGACAAACAATATTTAAAGAAACAAACATTTTTTTTGGAAACAATATTTAAAGAAACAATTCTTTTAGGAAACAATGTTTAAAAAATCCATTTTTTTAGGGAACAATATTTAAAGAAACTTTTTTTTTTGAACAAATAAAAAACATTTTTTTATACATTAATTTTAAAGAAACAATTTTTTTTATAAAAAAACGTTTAAAAACCCATACTTTTTAAAAAAATAATACTAAAAAGAAACTTAAAAAAAGAGAGGAGGTGACTTTCATAATGTATCATTTCACTTTTCTACCATTTGACCCTTAAATCAAATTTCTCTCTCTCTAATTTTTTTATTTATTTTTTTTTTCAAACATTAGTCTATCTCAACTTGCATGTCCACAAATATACAAATATTCAATGTTTAATAAGAAATGAGACAAAAAGAAAATAAAAAAACCTTATCCGTTGGACGATAAATGTTCTGAAAAACCAAGTAACACGTGTGTTTATTCAGAACTCACGGTATGCACGCTTGCAATTAGGGGAAAACGAGTGAATCGTTCGGTAAACATTATACGAGAAACATCGAACTATCGCTTAAAAGATGATAACTTGACATTAAAAAAAAAACAAAAAAAAAAGAAAACCTTTTGTGCATCATTAAAGAAATACTCTAAAAATTTACCGTAGACTCTCGATAATTCACCTTTAAATTTAGTTTATCAAAAATTATTTCATATTCATTAATAATAATTTACAGCGAAATAATTAAATTAAATTTATTTCACAAATATTAAACTATCCAAAATATATTTATGACAATTTTAATAAGAAAGAGCAAAAATCTTTAAAATCATTATTTTATAAATAAAAATATTAATTATAGATACAGAAAATAATAAATATAACGAAAATAGTAATAAATAAAAAAATAATACACTGAGGAAAAAATTATTTGACTCAAAGAAACAATTACTTGTCTATTATCAAACAAATATTTACTTGAATCAAATAATTTTTATTCAAATCAAAGAAATTTTGGTTCAAATAAATTTTATTTAAACCAAAATTTTAATATTTGAAGCAAATACAATTTAATTGATTTAAATAAAAATTATTTGATTCAAGTAAATATTTATTTGATATAATAATCGGTTATTTAATTATAATAAATTTTTATTCAGTGTATAATAAATAATATTATTCTAATAATATTAATATTTATTATTATTTTCTGCAAAAAATATTATTGTTATTATTAGTATTATTTTTTAATGTTATTTAAATTAATATTCATATTAATTAATATATTTCTACTAATTATTTCTATTAATTTTTTAAACTTATTATTCATAATTACACGAATATTAATTACTTTGAATTTTGAAATAATTTAAATAAACTAATAAAAATAATACTAGTAGCACAGATGTTAATAAAAATAGTCCAAAAGTAATGAATACGAGAATAAGAAAATAATCAAAAAAAAAATTTTTTTATTTGTAATGAAAGAAGTATAATTAGTATTAAATTTTAATGACTAATTAAAAAAGAAGAATATACACATTTTTTTCGACACAATGTAAAGTCCAATTATATTGAAAGTCGATTTATCGAGTTTCTACAGAGGGAAATGAAAACTGATTATATAAAAGAAGAAAAATAACGAGACACACAGCTCAACTAGATAATAAGTGCACAAATTGCATTAAATATTTATCGATAGAAAATTAGAAAAAATTAGAAATATATATTAGAGAAATTAGAATTAGAGAATTATTAGAGAATTAGAGAAAAAAAATTAGATTTTAAAAAACAAGTAGTTTATAAATGTTTGTAAATATGTAAATAGTACTTGCATGGTAATTATGTCTTATGTGTCTGTCTTTCTCTATATATGTAAAGTAGTAATTAGTTTATTTTAGTTAAAAAAATTTTTCTTGTAAAAATGCATAAGTAAGTATGCTATTTTTATTTTCAAAATGAATTTAAAAAATTAATTAGTATTTTATTTCAATAAATGTATGTATATTTTTTTTATCTTGTATGTTTGAGTGTTACGACCTATTTTTCACGTCTCTGTTCTCTTTTTTGTCATTACACCCTGTAAAATGCGATGAATGCTAATTTGACTGGCTTTTTGTGTATAGATATATTTTTTTCTTTTTTTGTTTTAATTAAACAACCATTCGAGTGTTGTCTGGGTACGAGTGAATCTGAACTGTATGTTTTTCCCATTTCAAAGAAAAAAATGAAAAAAATGAAAAAAATGAAAAATAAAAAATAATAGTAACATTAACAATGATAAATTCAAGCCACAAGTTTATAAATTTTTCTCTAAAGAAAAAATCCTGATTCTTGAGGCTTGAGTTTTATAAAAAAAAAAAAAAAATGAAAAAAAAGAAAAAAAGTAGAATAGAGTTATAGCGAGATTAGTAAATGAAAGATTATTAGAGGATCAAGAAACTTTAGAAAGAAATGATGAATCCGAAGAAAATAAGACGCGAGAATAATAGTAGAATATAGTATATAAAATATAATACATAAAATATAATAATGGAATAATAATCTTTCATCTTTAGAAATTTTTGTATATTTAAAAAAAATATATATAATGGAAATTTTTTTCAAAAATTAATCGCTTCATTCCTCTTTTTTCGGGGGAATTTTTTCGACAATTCCTCGAAATTCAGGGACGTATTTCAATTGCATCATGTTCATGGTGGCTAGCAGCGTTGTACTTACCGTTGTGGTGCTCAATTATCATCATCGAACTGCCGATATTCACGAGATGCCAAATTGGGTAAATATTATCTTTATTTTTTCTTCACCTTCTTTTTTATCTGAAAATGAAAATCTCTCTTTTAAATTCTTTTTTTCTCAATTCAGGGCTCGAATTTTTAAATAATTAAATTCTTTGGACGAATTTTAATGAAAATTTAAAGAATAATTACATTTTTCGAGAAATTCGATTAAAATTATATTAAAAATAATTGAAATTCTGCGATAAGTTTTTTTATTTGTAAAAATAATTGAATACCTTAGAATAATTTTATTATTTACGAAAATAATTAAATCTCTGTAAAAATTTCATAATTTATAAATATAATTGAATGATTAAAAAGAAATTTATAAAAATTTGTAAATAATTGAATTCCAGTGAAATTTTTATTATTTTTATGAAAATAATTAAAAGTTTGCGTAGAATTTCATTAAATTTTGTTTAATTCATTAACTTCTTTTGGAAAATTTTATTAAAATATTAAATATTGAAAATCATTGAATTGAGGAATATTTTTAAAAATAATTGAAATTTTGACAAGAATTTTATTTAAATTTTGGAAAATAATTAAATTTCAGAAACGAATTTAATTATTTATAAAGATAATTATAAATAATTTATTGAATAAATTGCATGTTTCTTAAAATTGAATTCTCATAAAGAATTTTATTAATAAATTTTTAAATAATTGAATTCTTTTGACGAATTTTAATAAAGTTTTTATAAATAATTACATTTTTCGAAGAATTGGATTTAAATTGTATTAAAAATAATTGAAATTCTGCAATGAGTTTTATTATTTATGAAAATAATTGAATTCCTAAAAAGAATTTTATTATTTACGAAAATATTTTAATCTCTGTAAAAATTCTATTATTTATGAAAATATTTGAATGATTAAAAAGAAATTTATAAAAAATTTGTAAATAATTGAATTCCAAAGAAATTTTTATTATTTTTATGAAAATAATTAAAAGTTTGCGTAGAATTTTTAAAAATATTTTTAAAATAATTGAAAAATGAATTAAAAATCATTGGATTGAGGAATATTTTTGAAAATAATTGAAATTTTGACAAGAATTTTATTTAAATTTTTGAAAATAATTGAATTTCGGAAAAGAATTTAATTATTTATAAAAATAATTGAAACATTGACGAGAATTTAAAAAAATTTTTTGAAAATAATTAAATTTCTGCGAAGAATTTTATTACTTTTGAAAATAATTGAAATTCTGCAATCATTTGTAATTTTTCTAAAATTTTCCAAATTATATCGTACAATTTACAAACTTTTCGTCTTTTTCAATCAAATTACGAACTTTACGGACCATTTTTCAAAAAAACGGACTTTTATGGACTTCAAGCAAATTTACGGATCTAGTTCGAGCCCTGTTAATTAAAAAAAATTACAATATACAATTGAGTTAAAATTAAACTTTGCAAGAATGAAAAAAACACTGAATTGAATTTTTTTTATTTGTATTTTAAATATTTAGTAGAACTTTTAATTAGAGAAATTTTTGTTAGGACAAAATTACATTTGACAAAAATTTTCTTCGACTGAATTTTGTATTTCGTACGAAAAAATATTCTTTATAAAAAATACAACAAATTTTGGCTAAATGTAAAATTTCTCTAATCAAAGAAAAGAACATAAGAAAAAAAAACACTTTGTTTTCAAAGAATCCATAAAATTGTCAATTTTCAAATGAAATTTGAAGACAACAGTAAATTTTTTCTCCATTCCTTATTTTTCGAAGCAAAGTATTGCATAAAAGAAAAACGCGAATAATAAAAGTCCTGGGTATTTTGAATTCACGACGAGTTAGATCATAAAAGAAATAGCTATATATACATGAATATAAATATACAGTATTAGGCCATAATAGTCACTATAGTCGTTTTCACATTTTAATGCCACTTTCCTAAGTCTTACACATTTGTCGAGAATAAAAAAAAAGGCGAAGAAAAAGATAGAAAAACAAAACGAAAGAGTCAAAAAGAGAAATAAAAGATAAGTAAGAAAATATTTTTTTTGTTTTATAAAAAATAATTTTATTTTTGCTTCTGTTTTCTAGATAAAAAGGGTATTTCTACAATGGTTACCGTGGATTCTAAGAATGTCACGACCTGGTAAACCAATTACGAGGAAGACCATTCTAATGAGTAATCGAATGAAGGAACTCGAACTTCAAGAGAGGAGTAGTAAAAGTCTATTGGCGAATGTTTTAGATATCGATGATGACTTTCGTCACGGCGGTGTCAACAGTGCAAATCCAACTACCGGTTACATACGGTACAATCATCACATTATATTTATTAATTAAGAAAAAAAAATTTTTTTTACTACTCATTTCTTTATTTTTTTACTACTCACTATTTTTACCACTAATTTTTTTATTTTAAAGAAATTTTACTTACCACTTATTATTAAAGAAAATTTTTACCACCTACTATTCTATTTCACTACTAATTACTCTATTAAAAAAGTTTTTTTACTACTAATTATTTTATTAAAACAATTTTTTTTCACTACTAATTTTTTTATTCGAAAAATTATTTATTAATTGAATGTACTGATAATAGTAAATTATCTGTATTATAAATTATAATTATTATTATAATTACAATAATATTACAACTACTACTATTCGTACTACTACCACTACTAGTACCACTCGGTACTAGTAGTAACAGTAATAATAGTGTACCACTAACACTAGTACCAACAATAGATAATATTTGTTATCATTATTAACATTTTACTAATATAAATAATACTAGTCGTACCACTACTAGTATGACTACTAGTATTAATAATAGTATATATTTTTTATTATTATTAATACTAATGATAATAACAATAATGATAATAATAATATCCAAAATTATTTGTACTATATAAAACAATATTATAATAAATTTGTATTATAATTAAAATACTATAACTACTAGTACTATTAACACTACTAGTACTGCTTAATAGTAAATAGTAGTAATAGTGTACTACTAATAATAATTAAAGTACTAACAATAATTAAAGAATATTAATGTTTGTTATTATTATTACTATTATTGTTATTATTATAATTTTAATAATATTACTACTGCTACTAGTAGTGCTACTACTAGGACGGCTACTAATAATATTATAGTGATAATAGTAAATATTTTTTATTATTATTAACATTAATTAAAATAATATAATAATAACTGAGAATAATTAAAGAATAATAATATTTTTTATGATTATTATTATTATAAATTTAATAATACTATTACTACTACTACTACTAGTAATAATAGTAAATTTCTTTTTATTATTACTATCAATAATTGGGTATTAATAAAAACAATTAATGACCAAAGATTAAAAATTGCTAATTATTTTTATTATTATTATTATTGTCATTGTTATATTATTCGTTTATCATTTTTATTTCTATTGTGAAAACTGGAAAGAGTTGCCAATTAAATAAAATTAAAGTAAATTAGAAGGTGAGATTATGAATGACATGGGATTGATTAAAATTTATTGATCGGATATTTATGGGGTGCATAATTTTCAATTGAATTAAAAGCATTTTAAATTTAAACTTATAAAATCAATCTAGAGAGTGGCTTGTGCAATCGCACGAGTTCACAGTAGTATAACTTGAGTTTGGTCATCCAGATGCCACAAAGTGGCTTTCACTACTAAAAGGTTTTCTGATTATTGAAGAATTTCTCCGGAGAATAGAGAAAATTAGCATTCTTTCGATAATTGAGCATCAATTGAGGAGAAATTCTACAATCTAAATAAAAAAGGAAAGGGGGAAAAACAAAAAACTATTCTCAAATTTAGAAAAATTGCTTTTTTCAATTTTTTATCAAACAAAATTTTGTTTCAATCTCATAAATTTATATTTTTATTTATTTTTGTTTCATTTTTACATTTTTTTTCTTTGCGAACAGAAAGTCAGAAAATAATTATAACTTTTACTATTATTAAAAATTATCAACAAAATAAAATAATTTTTCTTTTCAAAAAACGAGTGAAAAAAAAATTTACAAAGTTACATTGACAAGAAAAAGAATGAGCGGAGAAAGGAAGTGGAAGGGGGGTTAAAAAATGGTGTATTATTATTGAAAGTGTGATAATTGGTATTCATTTGGCTTTATTTTAAGGAAAGTTAATTAAAATTGTTTGCATGAGGTTCATTGTGAGTCAACTCAAAGAGAACCCCTTTGACAAACAGGTCGGTGTACGGTACACCGTTGACTGGTCGACCTGCCACCGTCGAGGAGACTTCAGCTTCGCTCCCCCTCAGCGGTACACAGAGGGAATTACAAACGATTCTCAAAGAACTTCAATTCATAACGGGACGAATGAAGAAAGCTGACGGTGAAGCCGAAGTCATTAGCGATTGGAAATTTGCAGCAATGGTCGTTGATAGGTATATATTTTATTTTTTAATCTTCTAATTATATTATTATTGTCACATTTATACAAATTAAAACAATATTTCCCTCAAAGATAATAATTAATTATTCAAATTGTGCTTGTAAAACTATTTTCCCTAAAAAAACGTAAAAATTCTTAAAATTTATAAAAATCAATCCATAAAATATACGTTAAAAAAATAAAATTTTTTTTAAACTATTTTTTAAAATTTATAGACAAATTTATATTTTGTTAAATATTTCATTAAATATACGAATATTACGAATTACTTAAAAATATAGAGAGAAATATAAATGTAAAATAAATAAATGAGTGAAGAAAAAATAAATGTAGAAAGAAAGAGAAAAAGTGAAGAAAGGAAGAGAAAATGAAAAAAATTGAATTAAGAAAAATACATAAAGAAAAGTTTAAAAAAATAATTTAAGAAAAAATATTCTAAGGAAAAAATTAAAAAGAAAAGAGAAAAAAAGAATTAAAAAATAAAGAAAGGATGAGAAAATGAAGAAAAAAAATTAAAGAGAGCAAAAATAAAGAAATAAATAAATACAGAATAAAGAAAGAAAATAAAAAAATAAAAAAATGAATTGAGAAAGAAAAAATAAAGAAGGAAAGAGAACGCAATAAATGATAAAAGAAAGAAAGAAAAATACACAAAGAAAAGTTATTGAAAAAAATTATTAATGAAAAAATAATGGAGGAAAAAAATAAAGAAGAAAAGAAAAAATAAAGAAAAAAGTTAAAGAAAGAAACAGCAAAGAGAAAATAATTAAACAAAGAGAAAATAAATAAATAATTAAATAAATAAATAAATAAATAAATAAATAATAGAGAAAAAATAGAGAAAAAAAGGAAGAAAAGAAGAAGAAAAAATAAACAAAGAAAGACAACTTGGAAAAAGAAAAACGAACAAAAGAAAAATATATAAAGAAAAGTTAAAGAAAGAAATGCTTAAAGAGAAAAAACAGGAAATAAATAAATAAAGAAAGAGAAAATGAAGAAAGAAAAACAAAGAAATAAAGAAAATAGAAAGAAAGGTAGAGAAAAAGAAGAAAAATTAAAAGAAAATGAAAAAAGAAAGAATATGAATGGAAAAAATAAAGAAGGAAAGAGAAATTGAGAACAGAAATAAAATAAAAAGTAAGATAGAATAAAGAAAGAAAAACTGAAAAAATAAAAAAATAAAGAAAAAATTAAAAAAAATAACGAATAAATAAATAAAGAGAAAAATAATAAAGAAAAGAGAAAATAAATAATTATAAAAAACTAAGAAATACAGATCAAAATTAATGAAATAAAGAAAAAATAAAAATCGAGAAAAATAAAGAAAGAAGAATTAAAGACAAAAATATATTATAGTTTAATCAATATAAAGACCAAAAAACTTAAACTAAATTCAGCGAAATCTGCGAGAAAAGTCTATCAAATTTTTTCAAAAAAAAAAAAAAAAAAAAAAAATATCAGCTATAAAATTTACAAGTAAAGCTGTCTCTGTCTTTATATTTTAACAGATACTGATCTGTAAAGACCCTTTTTTTTATCTCTCCTCCCACGATAACATCTCTCAAAACTTTTATAAGAAATTGGCTAAACGAAAAAATGGTGAAAAGAAAAAAGAAAAAAAAAAGTTCTCGATATCATAGGAAAATTAAAAAAAAAAAGAAATAAATGAAAATGTTCATCTTTTATTTAAGAACGAAAAAAAATATCTATTCACAATATTCTCGTCGAAAACCATTTGAAATTGAAAAATTCACTTCAACTTTGAGTCGCACATTGAAATCGTATTCAAATTTATTCTTTTAAGTTTCAATGACTTCCTGTCAGCTCTGAAAACTAAGTTCTTAAATTACATCTTCGAAGGGGGAATGTAATCAGCGGTTTGGATTGTAGAACATGAAGGATTTTTTCTCTATAACATTTGAAATCGTTGATTGAAGAGATAATATTGGAAAGTGTAACAAAAAATTTGTGTTTTCTTCGTAAGTTTTGATTTTGGAAAATCTAATTTTATTTCGGAGAATTACATTTTTTTGTTAGATATCTGACATTTTTTTTAAATTGATAATTGTTTTCTTCTTGTATTTTAAGTGAATATTGCAAAACGTAAAATATGGAAAAAAATGGAAACGAAATTAAAGAATGAAATTAAAAAAATCAAATAAAAAAAGAGCGAAATTTCAAAAACTAAATTAAAAAAAAACAAAGTTGCAAGTAACCCAATTTAAAAATGTAAATACCCCCCCTCAAAAAAAAAAAACAAAAGCAAAAAATTGTAGTAAAATAGCCGAATTTAAAAATCCAAATTAGAAAAAACCAAATTAAAATATTTCAAATTAGAAAAAAGAAAAAACTCAATTAATCAAAACTAAATTAAAATATGTGAATTGTAATAATATTTTCAACATTTTTAAGGACTTGCTTGATCATCTTTACGTTATTCACGCTGATAGCGACGGTAGCCGTATTGCTTTCCGCGCCTCATATAATCGTCCAGTAATAGATTAGCGATAAGTCGTCGTGATCAAATTCGAAGAAAAATCCTGCAGCTACGATTCCCTGGCATGAGGTGAGAAATAAACTTGATTTTTATCTCCCAACTTACACGAATTTTTAGAAAAAAAAATAAGTGAGTCAGCAATTTTAAATCGAAAGAATTCTTCTCTCTAAAAAATTCAAGATTTAAAATTCTCTTAATTCATCAGAAAAAACATTTTTTTAAATTAATGAAAAAATGAAATAAAAAGTAAAAAATATCCCATTTTTACTATTAATACTATTTATACTATTTAGTCTATACTATTTATATTATTTATACATTTTATAAACAACAGTCAAAATGTGAAAAAGAGGACATTTTTTTCCTCACGCGATTATTAAAAAAAGTAACTTTTTTTTTTAGTCTAAAAAGTAATCGCAAAGTTTCACAAGTAGAATAAAGCAGTTTAGTCAGACGGCTGCCGGGTTGTAACAAATTCTTTACAAAAAAAAAAAAAAAAAAAAAAAAAAACTAAAGAGCGTGTATACAGTTTTGAAATATTATCGAAAAAATTCTTTTTTCTTTTCAGCAATATTTAAAGTGCTCTGACAATCGTGAATTTTCAAGTAAATAAAAGTTGTTTAGTTTTGAGAAATGGCGCATTGCGGTCGTATTTTTTTACTTGAAAAATATTCAACGTGTATTTTGATTTAGGTAGTATCAAAAGTCAGAAGTAATAATTCCATGTGTTTTTTTTTCTGTGAAATTATTATTTGCATATATGTATTTTGCTAAAACTTCTGTATTTTTGAATCTACGTATTTTTAAAATTTTAAAAGGGAAAAATTTGAAAAAGGGAAAATTACAATAATGCAAAAAAAGTCCGACTAAATGCTGACTGCACCACTTGTAAAAGTATTAAAAGAATTTGAACCATTCGGTCTGACTAAAACGTTATTTCACTACTTAAATAAAGCCTTATGTTTCAAAAATAACTTTTACTACTTAGAATACTCTGTCTGACTAAAGATGATATTTCTATTTCTACTGAACTATTTTTCAGACTGGAATTGAGTTGCACTACTAATACTGAGCCTAATATATTTGACAGTCTAACTGCAAGTTTCTGTTACTAGTTACTACTGATACTGAAAATAATATTGAATTTTTACTTACGTCTGACTAAAATGCACTTTTACTATTTATTACTTGCACTACTTATAACTTAATTGAAAGACTTGCAAGAAATAATAATAAAACCTTTAAAACGAAACGATGAGTGATATAATAAAATTTTTTCGAATAACTACTTTCATTGAAAATATACTGTCTGACTGATAATGACTTGTGCTACTAATATAACAAAATAATTTATTTGTAACTACAATTTACTACTTATGTCATCAAAATGAAGTTAAAAACGTTGTAAAGTAGTAAAACTTTGATCGAAACGATTTTTTTTTAAATAAATTAGTTTTAAAAAGTATTTTTTATAAAAAAAATTTTCAAAAGTAGTTTTAAAAATGATTTAAAACGTGTCTGACTGAAAGTGACTTATACTACTAAGGATAAATTGGAAGACATTGTAGAGTCAGGACTAAATCGATATTCTCACTACTTATAACAGTTCTTATAATTTTATCCACTTCGTCTGACTAAAGTGAGAATTTACTACTCATAGAAGAAATTTTATCATAGAAAATTGAAGAGAAAAATTCAGAAAATGGTAAAAAAGACATTTTGGTGGTTTTTACAGTATTCTTGAATAAATTTACTACGTTTTTACTTGAATGTTTAAAGATTTAGTTTCCAATAGAATTCCAAGAAATTTAAAAAATAATTGTCTTACTATAACTATAAATGACTTCTACTACTGATATCAAGATTTAATGTAATTTTAGAAATTTCGTCTGACTAAAATGAACCTTTATTACTCACACAGAAATTTTCGAATAGAAATTAAAAAATACGATATCAAAAATTGTTGTCTGACTAAAATTATCATTTACTACTTTTTCCTTGGATGTTGAAAACTTAAGAGATTTATAGAATTTTAAGAGATATAAAAAAATAATGGTGAATTAAAATTGACTTTTACTATACTGTTATCGAGTTTTACTCTAATTTTGCCAATTTTGTTTGCCTAAAATAAAACTCTACTACTCACACATAAATTTTTAAATAGAAATACAAAAATTCATTAATAATAAATTTTTTTCTGACTAAAATTATCATTTACTTATTCACAAGAATGTTTAAAAATTTAGATTCGTGTAGAATTCGAAGCTATTTACAAAATTACTGTCTGACTAAAACTGACCTGTTCCACTGATTTCAAGTTTTAAATTTATTTTACCAATTTCGTCTGACTAAAACTATTATTGACTACTTTTTCACTTGAATGTTTAAAGATTAAGATTTGTATAGAATTTGAAGAGATTATAAAAAACAATTGAGTGACTAAAACTGACTTGTACTACTGACTTTCAGTATTATTGTCTTACTAAATTCCGTCTGACTAAAATTATCATCTACTACTTTTTTACTTGAATGTTTAAAAATTTACGTTTGTATAGAATTCAAAGTAATTTAAAAATAATTGTCTGACTAAAACTGACTGATTCTACTGATTTCGTGTATTATAGTAAATATACCAATTTCGTCTGACTAAAATGAACATTTACTACTCAAACAGAAATTTTCTTATAGAAATGCAAAAAATACGATAATAAAAAAATTGTTGTCTGACAGAAATTATCATTTACTACTTTTTCACTTAAATGTTTGAAAATTTAGATTCGTATGAAATTCCAGGAGATATAAAAAATAATTGTCTGACTAAAATTAATTTCTACTACTGATATGAAGCATTAAAGTAACTTTAGCAATTTCGTCTGACTAAAATGAACCTTTACTACTCAAAAATTTAACTTTATTTTTTTTTAAAGTTATTTAAATTTATTTTCTCTAAACATTATACAAAATTACTCCTAAAGTACCTGTATCAATTATTTGAATCAAATAAATTTTTCCTCCTTTTCAGTAAAACAAAGAAAAAACAAATATTAATCAAATCCAAAACAATAACACTATTGCCTTAATTGATCAAAGATAATTTTGTACAGATTTCGCAGATTGAATTCCTGATGCGTGTGTGTATATGTGTGTATTGGAGCGTTGACGCCCCCATAACACCAAGGACTCCAGATGCGAAATGAGATTGACCTGGTGTCACATGCCAAGTGAAGTAGAGAGAGAGCTACAAGTAGTGACAACCCTTGTGGATCGATCGGCTGATCGGCAGGCCGATGGGAGCCGCAAACGCTTCGCTTCTCCACCATCCTCGTGTGTTCGACCGACTTCCAACCATTCGAATAGTCAAAGATGTCCTCCGCCACGACTGCGCGCGAAACGACAACGCCGCCTCTCTCTCCATTTATAAAAAAAAAAAAAGAAAAAAAAAAACAAGAAAGAAAAGAAAAAAACCACACGCACACAAATACACAGAAGTCGGAGAGGAATACGCCAGACCCTTCGATTCCGGTGCGTATTATACATCAACAGCGTGCGACTCAAGATAACATATATAAATAATAATAATAATGCGACTGTTATTCAAACAGGTGTATAGGGGTCATGAGTCATGTCCTCTCTTATAATAGAAAAAAAAACAAAAGAGAGACTTAAATTTCCCCTTTCTGCAGATTTATTACAATTTATAATTTCTCTCCTCGGGGAAACAGCTGTTTGAAAATTTCTTCTTTAAATTTCAGTTCTTTGAAAATGATACTTTTTTTGGATTTGAGTTATCGAAAAAATTTTTGACAATTTCTTGATTTACAAAATTTTTTTGGTAATAAAATTAATCGGGAGTAAATTTATTTATTACTAAAATTATTTCAGTAATAAAACTATTCAGTGCTAAATTATTCAGTCGTAAAATTATTCAGTACTAAATTATTTAGTTTTAAAATTATTTAGTCGTAAAATTATTCAGAACAAAATTATTTAGTCGTAAAATTATTCAGAACAAAATTATTTAGTCGTAAAATTATTCAGAGCAAAATTATTTAGTTTTAAAATTAATAAGTAATAAAAAAATTTAGAACTATATTATTTAGTACCTAGTAAAATTATTTATTACTACCTGATTTGCTTTCGAAAATATTTAGTAATAAAACAATGTACAACTAAATTATTTAGACTAAAAATTATTTGGTACAAAATTATTTAGTTTTAAAAATATCTAGTAATGAAAAATTCTGAACTAAATTGTTTAGTAATTGTTAAGTAATTAATTAATTGTTAATTGTTTAGTAACTTATTTGCTTTTAAAAATATTTTGTAGTAAAATTATGTATTGCAAAATATTTTTTAATATATAATTATGTAGTAATAATTTAAGCAGTACCTAATTATTTAGTAATGAAAAAATTTAGAACTAAATTATTTAGTCGTAAAATTATTCTGTACTAAATTATTTAGTATTGAAATTATTTTGTAATAAAAAAAATTAGAACTAAATTATTTAGTCGTAAAATTATTCTGTACTAAATTATTTATTTTCAAAGATATTCTGTAGTAAATTATTTATTAGCAAAAATATTCAGTATTAAATTAATTAACGCTAAAATTATTTAGTTCAGAATAATTTTAATTAATTAGTAGCAAAATTATTTATTACTAAATAATTGAAATTATTTAATAGTTACTTTTTTTAGTACCAAATGATTTATTAAAAAAATTATTTAATAGTAAAATTATTTATTAATAAATTGCTTATTTTTGAGATTATTTATCATCAAAAATATTCAATACTAAATTATTTAGTGATAAAATTATTTACTACAGCACAATAAAAAATTATTTAGTAGTTACATTTTTTAGTACTAATTTGTTGACTAGAAAAATTATTTAACCGTATAATTATTTATTACTTAATAGTTTTGATGTAATATTATCTTTTAGCAAAAATATTCAAAACTAAATTATTTATCAATAAAATTATTTAGTACTGAATAATTTAATTTATTTAGAAGTTTTATTTTTTAGTACCAAATTATTCAATAGTAAAATTATTTAGTAATAAATTATTTGATTGTAAAAGTATTTAGTACTGAGTTATTTGCTAGTGAAGTTATTTATTAGTAAAATTATTTACTAGAAAAATATCTACTAGTAAAATTTTTTGCTATTAAAATTATCGGCTAGTAAAATCGTTAACTAGTAAAATTATCTACTAACATAATTATCTTGTAGTAAAATTCTTTATTACTCAATTTAATTCTAGTAAAGCTATTTAATTCTTAGTTATTTACTAGTGAAATTATTTACTAATAAAATTATTTGATCTTAAATTATTTGGTAGCAAAATAATTTACTTACAATGGAGAAATAAAATTCATCGTGGAATTTTGACACTGGAAATCTCTCCCTACAACAAAAAAACCGAATTTTATTACCATTTGCTTTTAAATAAAAAATTTAATTACCATACAAATAATAATTTAAATAAAACAAGAATTGAACGAAAAAACTTTATTGTTAAACATTGACAGTAACTAATGTTAAAAAATATGAAAATGTTAATACATTTTTCCAACTTAAAAAAAAAATTGCAAACCTGTTTCTCCAGTGCGAAATATCGAAACTAAATCAGGAATTTTTCTTTTCTCAGAAAATAATCTTTTTTTGCAAAAAAATCTCGAAATACAGACGAAAAAAAAACCAATTATAATTACAATTTTTTAAACTTTCACACGGCCTTCGAATATAAACTGCCAAAATATAATCTGCAGAAAGGGTACAAAAAGAAGAATAGGAGGGGAAAAATATTATTAAATTCCCTCTCCCTTTTATTCACACAGTGGTTGGAAAAATCTTGACGCGAAATAAAAGATGTTGCGAAACGCAAAAAAAAAAAAAAAAAATATGATCAATCATATAATAGTGTCACTTGTACTTCTGGGAATCAGCGAATTTACCACTTAGCGCAGTTTTTAGATACGAAATAATTGTTTGTATGATATAACGTCTAATATCGCGAGGCGGATCAAAAAAAAAAAAATTATTGAATAAAATAACCCGCCACTTTAGATAGTTGCAACTGGACTACGAAAAAAAGAAAAAAAAAACTGCCAGTTGGATCGCCATCACAAAATAGTTGCTTTATAAAAATTATATCGAGAATTAAAGAATTTAAAGAAAATTTGGAGTCTTGTCAGTTTGTCGATAGACTGTTTTTAAATTCTCCCCTTCTTGTTTTTTCTAAGGGGAGGTACATTAGCTTATTAATTAGCTAAACAAAAAATTAAATTTTAAATTCTTCCTTTTCTGTTTTTTTTGTATTTTTTCAAAAGGGGGAAATGGGGGGGGGGTGATTTTAGCTTATCAATAATATCGATTAGCTAAACAAAAAAACTTTTATTGGGAGGGGGAAAAGTTGGGTTTCTTTTTTTTTTTGAGTTTCTAATTGAAAAACATTGCTTGATTCTCTTCAATATCAGGAGAAGTTAAACATTAAGAAAGAACTCTTGCTTGTTGAGTACAAGTAAAGTCACGGAAAATCGATAGTTCGTCAACTGTGAAAAAGATCATTTGTACTTCTTTCTTCGTCTCCCAATTTAGAGTACTTCTCCCTTGAGTCTCTCCCTCTCTCTCTCTCCCTCTCTCTCTCTCTCGTTTACTATCGCAGTGACCTTTAAACTTTTTCCAATTCAAAAGTTTCAAAAAGTCCATTGAGTCAATAGTGACACTTTTTAAGCAGGCTCTCAAGAAATATGTTCTTCTCAAATCATATCTACTATCATATTTATTGAGATTGAATTTTTTAATTTTCTTAAATTCTAACCAAGAGAAATTAGTTTTTAAAAATTAAAAGTTAGTATTTTTACTATTTTTTATTCTTTCACAAATAAGAAAAAAACATTCAAGGGATTAAAATTAATTGAAGAAAAAAAAAAATTTTGCGGACAATGGATGAAAAATAGATGGAAAGTGGAAAGCAATGTAAAATTGCAAACTATTTGCGCTGATAGATGATGGTAGAAGAATAAAGAATGAGATTTGTTGGCGAAAAAAAAAGAAATTTTTTTTCTGTTGTTCACGTCCCTTTAAGTATTAGATCCAATGGGAACAAGCAGTCTATGTCGATTCCCAATCAACTTGACTGTTTACTCGGTACAACTCGGATGTGTTTCGAGTTCGTCTACAAACAAAACATGCATATGTACATGATAGAGTATCAAACTCAAATGTTCAACTACATATATAAATATATACATATAAATATATATATATATGTATACTTGTACTGGGGACCAGAATTTGAAAGTGTGACAATCGACACACAAGCACAATCGTCGTCCGACTGTCGATTTCGATGTCTGTCACATGTGGTAACAAAGCCATAATGAATTTTTAATTAACTGTTCCAACCCTCTAAACTTTATTTCTCATATTTTCGATAACTGCATGTGGAGAGGTATCGAATTTCTTAGCTTTATTGGTAAACGAAATAATTTAAAACTGAAAAAATTATTTTTTATTTTATAACAAAGAGGAAAGAGAAGTTAAGTTTCTTGAAAAGAATTTAAATATTATTTTGAAACAATTCTTTTATAATTAAATAAAAATTACTTTTATTATAATTTTATACTTTAACTTTATATTTTATTTTATAATTTTAATTTTGTTATTTTTTTTGTTTTATATTATAATTTTATATTTAATATTGCAATTCTATATTAATTATCTGCTATTTACTTATATTTTCAACAACGGCTTTTTATCAACCTGTCTGACTATAATTCACTTTTACTACTGATCCTGATTTTCTATTTTATTCACCATGAAATTGATGGTAAAAAATGTTTGACTACTTTCGATGTCTGACTAAACTGTCTTTTACTACTTAGACTGTCTGACTAAACTGTCTTTTACTACTTAGACTGTCTGACTAAACTGGTTTTTACTACTTCTACTGTCTGACTAAATTGTATTTTACTACTTCTACTGTCTCACTAAACTGTGTTTTACTACTGTCACTGTTTACTCCTCTTCCTGTCGGAACTAATCGGTGTTTTACTACTTTTTCAAATCAAGATTACAGAAAAATAGAAGAAAAAATGCAAAACAGAAAAATATAAAAATAATTTTCATGAAAATAATTAATTTGAGATGAAGTAGCAAAACTTATGAAATCTGACCGAATTCTTAGCTTAACTACTTATAATTTTTTACCCCCATGTCTGACCAAAGT